ATTGATTTTTAAATTTAAAACATATGGACAATAAAACAAACAGTCTCTAAATTTTGCCAAGTATGACTTTAAGTAAAAATTAAATGAAATTGTGCATTAAAAGAAAGAACATTTTGTTTCTAAATTAGGCTATCATTGAGCGAGAATAATCAATATGAAGAAAGAAGAATATCTTTTACAATCAAACAATAATACTCAAATCAGCTTGAAACTTGAATAAAAGTGGAGACACCAAATATAACAGTGTGTATGTGCCACAGAGATGTAAAAAGGATTTCACTCTTTCATGGGGGAAGTTTTTATGTGTATGTAATATATTTTGTAATTTTTTTTAACTGGAAAGCATTTTTGTGAGTGTGAATGAGAGCCAGTAGTGCAGCCATATGGTGACATTTTTTATTTTATTTTGCAAAATGCTTTTAAAACCAAAGGCTGCTCTAGTCCATATGTGGACAATATCAATCTTGACGTAAATTGTAGGACACTTTTTCATGTAACATAGCATTTGGGGATTGGGTTTATTTAGTGTATGAAAATAATTTGATATAAAAATATTTTGTACATATTTTTACTTCGTTTTCTAAATTGCTGTTTTCAGTAAAAATAAGTGCAACGCAAGATATGTAAGTTATGACTGTATGATCAGATGAAGTATGCGTTCTTTTGGTTTACATCCTTAAGTAGTTACAAATCCATTATAAAAAACTTTTTAATCTTTGTAAAACAATTTTGTCAAAATGGGATCATATCAATGAAAACTAAAGACAAGTACTTCACTCTTTTTCATACTATTATAAGTTATTCTGGTATTAAATATTTTAATAAATTGTTTTGTTTCGACATATTCCAGTTAGAAGAATGGATGCTGGTTGTGTTTATTTGAATTGGTTATAACTCATTGTTGGCATTTTTAAAAAAAGAAATCAGCAAATGTGTTGGATGTTATAATCTATGGATGACAAGCCAATATAGGGTGGCTACTCATATGTGTGTGTTTTTTACATACCAAAGCTTGGAGTCTGGCCTATAAACATATCAAGAAGATTTTATAATTAGCACATCCTTGGCAATATCTCCAATTGCAAGTACTTTTAATTTCTTTCTCTTGCTGCTTAACATTTTCTGGAAACCAAAGTCCCCCCAATCCTAAAAGAATCTTGAACAATGCTGAGCCAGCAGCTAAAAATCTAACTCATAATTTATGTTGCAGAGAAATAGAATTACCTCTATGCTTTGTTTTGCCATGTGTAATCATTTTAATAAAATTAATAACTGCCAAGAGTTCTTGACAGATTTAAAATAAAAGTTAATTTCTAGACCTCAGTGATCATATGAATTTTGTTTTCCTTTGAGAGTTGACCAGGTGGAGAAAGAAGTAGAACAGAAGGGTCCATTATATGCTGTAACTTTCCTTCGGTTACTAAGGGATATGATATGGGAGCACCGCGTTGGTGTTAGGTTTGATTTCATCACCTCAGACCACCAGCCCACCTTTTCAGAGCTGAGGAAAAGAGTGTGCTTCTGTTAAAATACATTTAAAATGAACGTTTTCATTAAATGCCTTCTTTCGGTAGCTAATACAACAAGCATTATTTCTGTGTGTTTTGTCCTGGAGAGAACCTGGGCCTTGAGGCTAGACAGGTCTACGCTGAATCCCAGCACTGCCACTCACTACTGTGAGATCCAGACTCAGTCCCTCTTGGCTTCAGTTTCTTTATCTGCAAAGTGTAGAATTTGCTACAAACTTTAGAGATAATATATAATATATAAAGTGCCTGCCACAGTGCCTGGAATTTTTAAATAGGTGCTCAATAAATGGTATTATTACATAATTATAATTCCTCAATACAGGGTTTAGATCCAAGAAACTAGAAATATAAATGGCACATGAGATATGGGCAGTTCAATAAAGAGCCTTGGAAAAGGAAAGATATCTGACATGAGAGACTGCAATGAAACAGTGAAAGTTGGTATCAGAGTTAGAAAGACCTGCAAGGAAGATCGTTTTATCATTAGTTTGAACTTTCTGGAAAAAGCATAAACTAGGACAAAGAGAAGAACAGACATGCAATAGAAAACACAGCATGTGCAAGAGCTTCCTTCATTCAGGTCAACAAGAATTGCTTTTCCCTCTAATCATCTTGCTCAATCCTCCTGTTTAAGATGACTGAGAACTCAAGCCACTCTCTGTATTCTCTGCCCACTGCAAATAGCGATGTTTAATAAACAGTGGCAACAGCCATGGTCTCCTTTTAAACTCAGCCAACTCAATGCCATAATATCATGCAAACAAACACAGAAAATAAGAGCAAGTCAATCAGACTCTTCCGTCTGGGGCGCTTAGGGTGGCCATGCCTTGGAAGGCAGTGTGGAGTGGTGGTCAGGACTTGGCTGGCACAGCCTGGCATTGTCGCTGTATTCCTTAGTAACTTTGGGGCATAAACATAAGTCTCCTATACCTACAGTTTACATCTATAAAATTTGATCTATGAAACCACCTCTCCAAAGATGTGCAGATTAAGTAAGACAGATATAAAAGTGTTCTGCACACTGCATGGTACTGTACAAATGTTAACAATTATTAATGTATTCCAGATGCTCTGAAAGGTCTAATATCCCATAATTTTTGGCAATATAAATTGTAGTTTCCATGAAGCATATAGGACCCCTCAATTTTGTCAAAAACATGTTATGATCTACCATTTTGGGCCTTTTTGAGCATAAGGCGTCTTTGGTCCTGTACTTCTTTGAAACAGTTATGATCAGAATTAGATAAGTGATCATCACACTGCAGGTAAAATATCTTCATTTCACCACTTTCTAGCTTTGAGACGTATCTTAGAGATGGACCAAACATTTGGTTTGGGAGGTGTATATATTGCCCATAATAATTTTTTTTAAGATGAGAAAACCAGATTTCTGAGTTTGGAAAAACATGCTCATGTGTTTTTACATCTTTACACAAATGACTCCATGGAAATTCATGTAAAGATTGTCTCAATAAGTCTTCTGAAATAAATTGCACCCCAAAGCCAGTTTCTGGAAATTTGATCTGCAGTGAGTCCAATTTGACTTGTATTCATTACTTTTAAACAAAATTTTAAATTTTAATTTATGGTTTTAAAAAGTATTAATGTAACTTATGCTAGTTTGTATAAAAGGGTAAGCAGTATAACAGAGCACAAGATAAAAATCTCTATGCCCTGTCTTTCCCTGATCCAAGTTTCATAGCCCAAAGATAACCATGGCTAACAATGTCTTGTGTATACTTCCAAAAACTCTATGCATATGCAAACTCATACTTTTTCCTCTTGCACTTTTAACTATATTTATAATTCTCTGCAATATTTTTCCATTCTGTCATGTATATATAAAAGTGGTACATATATGTAGATATGTATACCTCATTATTAAATGAATGCATATGATTTTATTTGTTTTTATGTATTTACTAGAGGCCCGGTGCATGAAATTCGTGCACAGGTAGGGTCCCTAGACCTGGCCAGAGATCAGGGCAAATAGGGGTCTTCCGGCTGCCAGCAGGTGCCTTCCTTCATTCTGCACTGCCCCCTGATGATCAGCGCACGTCATAGCGAGCGATTGAACTCCCGGTCGAACTCCCGAGGGGACACTTTGCATATTAGCCTTTTATATATATCGATTTTTAAATCTTTATTGTTGAAAGTATTACATATGTCTCCTTCTTTCCCCCATTGATCCCTTCTAGTCCCCACTGCCCTGCCTGCTCCATCCCCAGGCCTTCACCACCCTATTATCTGTGTCCATGGATTAGGCATATATGCATACAAATTCTTTGGTTGATCTCTTTCCATCCACCCACCCCCCCACCCACCACTTTCCTTCTGAGATTTGACAGCCTGCTCCATGCTTCTATGTCTCTGGATATATTTTGTTCATCGATTTATTTTGTTCATTAGATTCCACATATGAGTGAGATCATAGGATTTTATTTTTAATCTATTTTAACTTTTTTAGTAAATACCCACTTGATAGACTTTTGGGTTATTTCCAATTATTAGTTATTGTAAACTATGCTATTCAAGGTGTTGTTTCACACTGAGATAAGGAGCTTGCACCGGAATATAAATCAACATACTGCTTTCTTTAAAAAAAAAATTCTATTAATATTTAGAGAGAGAAAGAAAGGAGAGAAGGGGAGATAAACATTGATGTGAGAGCAGAATTTAGATCAGCTGCCTCCTACATGCCCTGTACCAGGAATCAAACCCGAAACCTAGACATGTGACTGGGAATCAAACCAGCAACCTTTCAGTGCACAGGATGACACCCAGCCAACTGAGCCACCCAGCCAGGACAACATCTTAATCAGGAAAGTCTTCCTATGAAAAAAAATTGCTACTTGAACTCACTGTGCTCTTAGAAGTGTAGGTGATTTACATTCTGGCCCTTTAACTCCTCACAGACTAATAACAAGCAATTGGTGAGTTGTTATCCTTGTGCAGGCCATATTTGAATAGCACTGCTATAGTGAACAATCACTGCTGTAGTGAACAATCTTGTGCATATGTGTTTCAGGCTATTTATAGCCTGTGAAATAAATACTTCGCAGTGGAATTAATGGCTCAAATGATAGGTACATTAATGTTTTTGATGGACACTGCCAAATTACTGTTTAAAAGTTCTTCCAATTTAGCTTTTGCCAGTTTAGCTCAGGGGTAGAGCATTGTCTCTCATACCTAAGAGTCAAGGGTTCGATTCCTGGTCAAGGGCATGTACCTGGGTTGCAGTTTGATCATCCTAGGCCCCAGATAGGCAAGTACGGGAGTGATATGTCTCTCTCACATTGCTGTTTCTCTCTCTCTCTCTCTCTCTCTCTCTTTCCTCCCTTCCACTCTCTCTAAAAATCAATAGAAAAAATATCCTTGGGTGAGGATTAATAAACAACAACAAAAAGTTCTACCAATTTACACTTCCAACAGTAGGGCATGA